GTGACAAGAAAGATTCCCACATATGAGTGCCCTCTGATTTCCTCGCCCCATTCACTAGCGCCCACTCCCATGCTCTCCACACCTGACAAGCAGACGTGACAGTTGCAAACGGTACTGTAATGCGGAGCCCAAAAAAGGGCTGGGACTCCAAGATACTACTGTAAAATATCGCACTAAGGACAGTGTGACCTACTCGCGACCACGGCTGGGATACACATCTGGGCATAGTATGTATGACAAGTGGGGTGAGCCCAAGGTTTCAAGGGTTCAAGTGCGCTCGGGTAGGAGAGGAACGGGTCTGAATTACCGGCAAAAGGACTACGGCATTCGGGAATGTGGGAATGTGGGCGCTGGTGACCTTCATGCCAGAACACGACCCTATGCGGACCTTAAGCTAGCTGGCCAGAGAGAAATATGACGGACAGTAAGGTGTGTAGGAGAGTGACCTAGGAACCTTGATGTCGTGGAATCTGGGAACCTTGATGCCTTGATGTTAAATCAGCGTCATTGTATTGGCTTTGAAAAGACCTGCTCACACGTGATGATGACGGAATGTCCTGCCTTACATGCCTGCGGTCGCAGGCCAGGTGGGATTGAGTGCGGCATTCACTTTTAAACCTCATCCTTCCCACGACCTCAAACCTGTCCGCCGATCTTATCAGGGCTAACCAGACAGGGCTTGAGACCAAATCGATCACTATGCTAATGAGGAAATTGGCTTGTTGACTGCGCGCCTGGCAATGTTAGTTCATTACAAGATTAGAAATCGCCCATGCTGACCTCCTGGTCCCCATGACACCAAGTAAATGGGATTAACAGCAGCCGCCCCTCCATAAGTTTCAGTGAAAAAGAAAATAAAACCAGGCTATAACTAACCGTAACTCCAACATCTTCTTTGCTTTCCACTTTGCGTTGTTGGGCAGCTACGGCACAGGTTTTCTTCTCCGTATGAGTTACTCCAGTAGACGAGCCCGACGGTAGCGAAGGGATGCCAAGGAGGAGCTGATCGCCACCGCTCGACGAGTTCAGCTGAGTTTCCAGCGCAGATAGCTCCTCCAGTAGGGCATCCAACTGCCAATCAGCCGATTCTGAAAGATCACTTTTGAAATGTTGTTAGGTTCAAAACTCAAAATATACTAGGGGACCCCGTGAAAATACCAAATTTGCAAAAACTATATTTCATTGCTTCTTTTGAAATGTTGTTAGGTTCAAAACTCAAAATATAATAATATAATCCCCTCCGCTGAGCTGTTGAATCCCTCATTTCATCCGGAGGTCAATATGGTAGTGACCAGCCAGGATTTGTTGTTATTAAAACTAAATAAAATATTGGAAATCCACTGGAGTCGTATGAGGGATGAGGTTGAAAGTGAATTTGCGGCACTGATGATAGCTTTACAAATCCTATTTAGCTTGGCAGGTACCGTCCTTACTACAGAGAATTCAATAGATTTCCCTGGCGATTGCATATTCATAGATTGTCAATCCGTGACCGCGATTAGGGAAGCTTTTTTGAAAACGATCGGTGCGTATTTGCTGACCGACTGGCCGGTTCCGCCAAGGTATTGAGGTCATGCTTAGCGACTCCATGGTTATATCACTAGAGTAGCTGTAAGGAAGAGCGTTCCCATCATTAGCAAGACATCCAGGATGTCATTGTAATTGTACCTAAACTCAAAGCCAGCTTCAGGGACTTTTATAGTATCTAACGATCCCAGGGATGTAAAAATTTTAAACCGTAGGTTCAATTTGAAACCCGTTCAGCTCGCGCGAGTTGGATAGCATGTCTGGAAAAGATTCCCACCGTGAGTGGATCCCGTGCAACGTCGTGCTTTTTCGGCTTTATGTGGGATGACATCAATCCCTATGTTAGGATTTGGATGTCGCCATTAGGACTATGAAACTGAGACGCACTTGACGCAAGCTCATGGAAAGCAGGACTTCAATTATCGTTGGATTCTTCTACGTGTAGAATGGGTCGGTTGAGAGAGTCATTAGGTCTTTAGGAGGTTAATGAAGTCGCGTCTGAAGGAGATTTTTCTAACGGGGGACCATTCCAGTAAAATAATCAGGCGAAGAAAACAATTGGGTTCAAGGCAGATATTTTTGAAATGCCACCCCTGATGCGACGATGCGTCCCCTCTGAAATTGGGACAAACAACAATGCAAAGAGTGATATTTGACCACAGTGATGTGCCTTCCTATATGTTTGCAGTGATGTGATCTGTTTGAGAAACATATAAAACAATAAAATGTATCAATAAATCGATAAAAATCAATCGAGGTAAATCAGATATGAATGGAATTTTCGTCCCTATTGCCCCATGTTTCCACAATCCAGACGATATAACACAGTATTTTTCACTGATTTTTCGATTCGGGACACTTAATGGGGCAGCTAGATTGTAGTCAGTATGGAGGACCCGATCCTCATAGAAGGGTGGAATTCTCTCGTCAATTTCGCCCCAAAATGATTTTCTCAGCGCTAAGGAACATCTTATTCTTGACTCCCTGCCGGAGAGCAGCGGCCATCACCAATCATCAGTGGAAACCGGAATCTCGTGAACGACGCGATGGCGTTCCCACGACGATTTGCCGCCGCTCTGTCACCTTCATCGTTTCAACGAGATGAAAATCGAGTGATCGATAATCGGATCGATTTCCCTTACCTCGTTGCAGCTTATATTGTCGATATGCAAGCATCCTTCAGTTCATAGGCAGAAATGATTGGGTGTACGATGATTTTCGTTCTGTAGATGAATATGGCACTCATAGATGACGTCATTCGAGAGAGAAACGGTACGGAACGGGAATACAAAGGCACAAAAAACGATCGTAGAATGACAAATGAGACTGTAAAGAAGAACGCGGCAAAAGGTGCTGTGAGCATTGGCTGGAAAACCACTGATAAGGCCTATCAGTGGACAAACAAATTTTGCTGTTTCAGCTGGGAGTGTACGTATGGGCAGGTTGGGGAGGAGAACAGCAAAAACTACTATGTAAAAACTGAGGCACTTGCGAGCAAGTCTACAGCGGAATTCTTCGGCTTCAGCTGCGAGGCAGATGGCATCTGCAGCTGCGCTCAAAAACTTATGAATTTCTGATATCAATGCACTGATGGAATGACTAGCATGCGCTTATCGCAGTTTTCTTTGTGGAACGGCTGAGAAAACAGGATAGAAAAGAAGAAAAAGGATAGAAAAAAAGAATTCCTAGGACTCGATAGCTGTTAAGGAGCTAATTGATTAGAAAATTGGACATGTTGGTGCAATAGTTCGTGCGCACTACGGTTATCCCACTTTTGCGCAAGAAGGTTCCTGAAGTTATGAAAAGGTAGGAGCCCCGCCTCTGCGTCAATTATCTGGATTTCTTTGAAAGCTGAACGCCATAAAGTGCTGGAATGTGCAATGAAAAGATTGGGAACCAGAGGATCAAGAGTTCTGCAAAAGTGGGGACGGGGACCACCATGGTGGGTGATTCCAATCCTTCCTATGAAGAAAAAGGGCACTGTTCGGCTTGGGAGGGGCATTTTGCACGTTTCTAGTTCCCTTTCCTAGTTCATGTCAACTAAAAGATTCACTTTGGTGGGACCTATAAACCCTTGTAAAGCTAAGCAACAGCCCAAGTGACCCTTTCGGGTTACAGGAAATCACCGGTCCTAACTTGGTGACCTGTTCAGGCTTCGCTGAGTACCATTTGGTGCCCCCACCAGGCCTAACTGCGCCAGAAGGGTTTTCGCTTTATGGTAATCCCAATTTCGCATGGCGATTTATTTATATATGCAACCTAATTGAAACAGTGCGCCACAGCGAAATACACAACATCTCCTCCATCCACTCAATCAGAGATGGAGGTTGAGTGCATGGCGCATCCCTTGGAGTAACGAATGATAATCGAGAATTGCGGGCCTAGCAAAGTCGGCATAAAAG